AAGTCCCTTCGCGCTATAAAGCTCCCTGGAAAACCTATCCGTGCAAAAATTTGCACAGCACCGCCTCGGCCTTTATCAACGGCGGGATCAACAAAAACGAGAAAGACTCGTGGGAGAAAGAAAGGTATTTACCTACCATGTAATTCATGTGATGGTGTGTCTCGTAAGAGTACCTTTTGTATGAATACCGTGAACGGCACGCCGCTATTGCATGCTATTCGAGATCTGCAAAGAGGGTGATTTGACGATTGTAAAGCGGTGCGACGAATCGTCAGGATCGAAAATTTTCATTGGCGATTGCTGTTGTATTGGTTGGGACTAGAGAAGTGATTATTGTTCTGTGAAACGAAGCTTGAGAAAATAGAGGATAGAATGATAAGAGTTAGGAGGAAGTGTTTATTTATCTGAAACGGAATAGAGGCAAAAATATCAGTGGAAATGTTTTATAAGGGAGGGGGCGGGGTTGAAGCTTTCATTCGTATAATGTACGATTTTTCTGACCTAGCCAATATTAAATTGTATTTTATTATTGTCGACTGCCGAACTATAATTTCACAAAAAGATAGTTGGTTAGAGCAATCGTTATTAAAAATTATTATAAATAGCTAAATATCAAATGACAGCAAAATTAATGAATGTAAAATAATCGAATTTATTATAAATGTTATTTTTGAGTTGAGAACTTACGTTGAGAAATTGACAACTATACTGTTAAAGAAATTTCAATATATAAAGTCGATATATGTATTTATTTATCGAGGATTACGTAAAAACTTATGTATTTAAATATTCCTTTCTATCGACATTTATTCAATACATAGTTAATTGTAAAGTAGATGGGAGAACTTATTATCTTACATATTTCTGATCTTATAAATTTTCGATTAATATTAGTGACTTGGAACATAAATATAGCAAATACGTGCGACAACTATTATAAACAAAAATATTTTTCAAATATATATAATCTTTAAATATATATATAATTCTTTAAATATCTAATTTAAAGAACATTAATTATATTGTAATAATTATATAAATTAATTTGCATATAAATTTTATATAGAAACGAAGATGTTAAATGAAATTTTATTCGCACATGCTTGTATATATGTTTATGTGTGTTTGCGTTTGAGCTCAACGTTCATACATTTTTTTTTTATTATAATATGAGGGTTAGTTGATGAAGAAATTCTATAGGCATTGATATTTTGTTTTTGTTTGAGCCTAGCATTTGCAATAAGAGGTAAGGATGATATTTTTATTATTATATCGAATAATATCATTTACAATTTATTATATAAATAAATTTTTAAGAACGTTGTATTAGTGATAGATATATATATATATATAAATATTGGAAATAATTTGGAATTATCAGAGTGACCACAGAATTTCCAATATTGTAGATCGCTCTATCAAATTTATGAAATGATAAATATAATGATTAAGGAATTAAAATTTTTAAGCAATAATAGTTATTAAAGTTATTAAATTTATCATTGCAATTTAAATTTTCTGTTATTTATTAAGAGTTAAATGTTTTTATTTATTAATACGCTGGGGTAGAAGAAATTGAAACTTTTGAAAATTTATTACAAAAATCTCATAATAATTTAATATATTGTGAAAGAAATCGGATAACGAACTGATATCCGTACATAGTTATCTGAAATTTTGTTAAAGGTAAAGGAAAATTCGCTTTGAAACGGAAATTAGGAAGATTGTGAGGTCAGAGCAGATTAAAGGGGGTAAAATTTTTCCCACTTTGGATTTATCAACGACTAGATTTTTCATGATGATATTTCAAGAGAAACATATTTCACGTATATAAAAAATAAATTACATACATTCGAGTGAGCATCGTACGAGGATAAATTTCTAGTTATTTATTTAAAAGTATTTGAACTTCTTTTAATAATATGAAATCTATGTTCACGAGTAATTTAAAAATATTTCTAAAGCATTTTCAATGATTTTAGATTATCTAGTGTTCAAAAAAATATTTCTAAATAATTTTCAACCTTATGCCCTATGATTTATTCAGGAATGCGAGATTTTTAAATGTGTTTGCACATTATCAGCTCGTTTTATTTATTAAGAGTCAAGTTACAAATGGGCTTCCTCATTATTTAAAACTGAGCCGTATAGAAGGAGCGCGTACCAATTACCCGAGTCTCTCTTAATACCAAACTAACAGTAGACAATATAATTAAGGCAACTAGCACTCTTGCTGATTGAAAATTATATTTCAAATGGCATTCCCTTAAATTTTTTTCACTGCATAGATTGTTGAATGAGGCTATGAGAAACAAAAGGGCGAATGCCTAATGGGAGATGAGGCACGTTCCATTTGGCTTGACGAGCGCTGATTTTCAGCCACACGTCATTGGAAAGTTCGTTAAAGTTCGAAATCATAAGAGAAATGGTAAGTAGATTGGTGGGTGATTGGTGGCGAAGAGAAGCGACGAGCCACGGGTGGCTCGAGGTTTAAACGTACCTTGTAGCCGAGATAGGCGAGGAGTAGCGCCTCGGTCAGCGATACCATTGCTAATATCACTTGGATGATCCACAATTCCAGAGGTCTTCGCACCCATAATATTGCGTCCCAGTTGATGGTCGGGTGCTCCTGGAACTCCTCCTCGGTCAGATTCTGGGAGATGAGAAACTCCGTCTTGTTGCCGGGTGTGCAGCCGTAACTGAAACAGTGCGTCATTGTATGCGAATGCGTTTAAGGGTTAAATACCATTAACGGATATAGCAATTCTCGCTTGTAAGACCTGGTTTCTCATTCTCATTTTTTTTTCTGCTTCCGCTTTGGTTTCTGTTTTTTCTTTCTTTCATTTTCTTTGTTTTTATTTTTTATTTCTTCTTTATTTATTTATCTATTTTTTTTTCTTTTTTTTTTTTTAAGGAGCGATGGGTCTCTTGCTTCGCGATTTATTGCTCCATCGTAAGGATTTAGTGTGCTGAGATTTCGCGAGCGCAAGGGGAAATGTGTGGGTAACGCGCTGGATTCCGGTTAATTTAAAACGCGTTAGGAAAGCTTTTCCCTCGCCGCGAGAATTCGTAAATTTTTAAATAAGTTTTGAAAAAATATTTGCGCAGCTTACCCGGCCGCCGAGAGAGAAATCTAAAATCGCGTTTTCCAGGGAATGCGAAAAATCACAGAAGAGCGCCAATGACGACTAATTCACAAAATTGGCCGTAAAGATAGTTGCCCCGAACGATGGCACTCCGAGTCAACTCCAAATACGCCTTAATTTACCAGCTGGAAATTAACGTCAAAGTGAACCCTTAGAAAGCCCAAGCTGCAATCAATTTTATTTACATTCGCCGTAACACGAGTGCGAATATTCGTATGCGCCAGCCGAATCCTCGGGCCGAAAAAACGACTACATTCGCCGTGAAAGCTCACAAGACCGGGGCGGTTATAAATATTTATTCTCCTCATATCTCATAAATCGCGCATAAATAATAAACGAGGGAAGGCATGCGCGCGTATTGGTATAAGTTAGTAGGGGGCCGAGCGGTTGTGCGCGAGCGCTCCTACGAAATTCACCTGACGAGACATCCGACGACGCCGCGACTCGTTTTTCCCTGTCGTTGTATAAGGGACTGTGCGCTATCGCGGAAGCAGCCCCGACATCGCTTTCCTCGCTTTTGATACGACGTCATCTGAGAGACTCGGGGGGGGGGGGGGGGGTGAGTTCAGACGACTGCACGTGTGTACGAGCATGGCAGATTGCTCACCGCGAAAATCAATAATCTTTATAGCCACGGTGCGAAAGAAGACTTAACTCAATGGCTGTGTATATAGCGGAGGCTGAAGGAAAATATGCCTTTCGATGCATTTCACCTGTGGTTATGGAATTCTATTTAGGGAGATTCACCTTTACCGCGTGTCGTTTAAGATGCGGAGGAGATTGTGATAAGGTAGCCGGATGACGTGTGCGTGTGATTCAAGGAATGTGCATGCGCGATCCGAGCATGAAAGTAACTGTCGACGGGCCTCGATGATCTTCGTAAAGTTGTATTTCGCGCGCAGAGGAGATTTTTAATTAAATGCTCTTGTTGAATGATAACGAGGAGTGTAGTAAATTCCGTTACTTTTCCACTTTCAAGAGCCTCGGTATTTTTAATGCGAAGCATATCGGACTATTTCCATCTTTCCATCTTTCCATCTTTCTCTTCTGTGCCGTTTTCTTTTTCTTATTATTTTTCCTTTCATTTTTCTTTTTCATAAGAATTAAAATTGTCCTTAACTCCCAACGACTTTAATAAAAAGCTATGTAGGCAATAGCGGATACATTCGTGAGAACTCTCGGGCGTCATTTAATACGCTAGCGCCATAAATTAATTGTAAATTACGCTGCAAAACTAATTTCCGTTAATCGCTATTGGAGTCGTATACGAGGTCGGCGAGTAAGCTGTAAGGCGAATAAAAATTGTGAAACTTTACCAGGCTGCAAAGGTGGGATCGCTGTCGGTGACCACGCGGAATATGTATAGAAAACATGTCAGCAGTTTAAAAAAGAGATTGGCTAGTCGTATCCTAAGACCTGCAAAGAGAAGAATTTTCAAGATTAATGTTTAGGAATTTTGCAACGCTAACATGAACATTAGCATTTTTTAATATAAAGTTTTACGAATGAAAATTGTAAGCTTCTGGAAATGTCCATTGAGCTTCGTACTTTGCTCAATAAGGTTTCCTCACGGATGCAAAATGTTGTCACATTTTTAAGGAATTAAATTGGCAGCCCTAGTTGTTACACGTCAAAGCAGTACATCCTAAAATATTATCCTTTAAAAGCATTTTAAGGGAACGTTTCTTTTGTATCTTTATTAAAAAACGAAAACCCAAAAAAACAAAAAAAAAAACAAAAAAAAACAAAAAAAACAAAAAAAAAAAACAAAAACCCAAAAAAGAGAGAAAAAAATAGAAAAAGAACAAAAAAAAAGCGTGAATTGCCCATTTCGTCGTTTATGAGAGAAACGTTTGTTTTTTTTTTGCGCTAATAATTTAATTACGTAATCTTACGTATTTAACGTTTCAATTAATATTGAAGGTAAAATTCTCTTACATTTTGTAAGGAGAAAAAGAGTGCTCAGAATTTTCGTTATTTCAATTTTTTTGCTATAAGCACTTTTGGTTTAATACTTCAAATACATTTTTTACATGGTGAAATTTTATTTTTTTCCAGCATAGTCTTTACTCGCTATAATCTT